TTGTCGCAAAAGCTTGTTGAAGAACGTATTCGCAGTTCCGTCGAACTGCCAGCGGCTTGCCGTTGACAGTAATTTCGGTCATGTCAGCTGGGTCGCCCCAGGTATACGATATCGCGTAATAGGACGGTGCATCGTCGATTGGCCACGAGGAGATTTCACATTCGACGTGCTGGCCAAAGTCGCCGCGGAGGATGTGTAGTAGGCGAAAGTGGGTAGTAGAGTCGGGAAGTGGGTCGTGCTCGAACGCGGAGGATGGGGTTTCGCTGGCCATGCGCGCGCGTAGTTGGGAAGCTGAGAAGTTTCGGGGAAAGTGCGCGACGTGCGCGACTTTAATGTACGGAACAGCGCTTGATGGATATGTTCTGGATTGTTGTTTCTGATCTATCGTAAAGATGGGATGGACAGGCAACCGTCGGAAGGCTGAGGTGCTGTCTGCCCATCAACCCAACCAGGCTGAACTGATCCCCAGCCGCAGTCAGCCATGTGGAGGCTGTGCGGCAGCGTCTCGCGTCTCGCATCCTCAACCTCCAACATCATATTTTACCTTCAACACGTCTCCCTTCGCAAACGGGGCGATACAACGAGCATTCGTTCTGATCGATATATCCGCCACGGCCTCTCGCTTCGACTGCGCTGAATCGTCCGATGCAGCTTCGATACTTAGGTAGGGTCGGAATCGCGTGCGGATCACAGATTCACGGTCGTCCAGGGTTACTCGAGGATTGGGGATTTCGTTCGCACAAGAAGAGACACTTGCGACAGAAGTAACGGCCTATGCCATTATGTCTCCGTTCATCCACGGAGAACAGTTGCTAGACGCTGAGAGGTTGTAGATCCGCCGAGGAAGAAAGGCTCTCGCCATAGCAGTTTCGACCTTGCACTTGCAGGGCTGGTGCCACAAGTGCAAGGTGCCGACGAACTGCATTTTGTCGTTGCAGGATGTTGCCATCGTGAGAGATCAATCACACGCATCAGGCCCAAGACGTAAAAGAGACAACGACGGTGCGCAGCTGAAATTTGTACATGAAGAAAGAATGTGTGGTCTGTACAATCACACCTGAACAAGCGGATCCCGCGGAGATATGTTCTCACGGATTTTCTTCGGCTTATGGACTCCGTATCCGTATTACGTAGCGATGGCACCTTCGCACTAGCTTTCCCGGACACTCTTTGAACTCAGTCATATTCTGTAGAGAGCATCTTCGTTGTTTCATTCTCTGCGTGCTTCACGTACGTCATAAATCCGCTCAAAACTCCCTTCCAATTCCAATCCAGCCCTATCCGTATTAAACGGTCCACGTTTGTGGATCTCTCCGGGCCGATGGGCGAGAGCTAGTCCTCGTACAGCCCTTGCGTGCCCTTTTCCGGACAGTGCACATCGGCCCGTGAGCCTCATCTAGCGTTGAAGTCTTCCAGAAGACCACTTTTGTTAATTTTAGAACACGACCGTCATCTTCGGTCTTCAGGCTTGAATGTCAATGGACGGAACCGTTGAAACTTCGTGTGGGTATCCTTGTAAATACGACGTTCAGGCTGTATTACTGAGTAGCGCGAGCGCAGGTACTAATATATACCTCCGTCATGCCGCCTAGTACTTCCTTCTTCAAGTCAAGAGCATCTCACCTCTTGACACTCACGACTCCGTCTTATCTCAACACCATCCATCACCATGGTGGCCCAAATGAAGAAGCTCCTGGCCGTCGCCACCACCGTCTCGGCATCCGTTCTTGAACTGCCCGTCGTCATCGACAACAGCTATGCCAGCGTCAAATTCGAAATCGGAACACCCCCGAAGGAACACCGGTTGTTGTTCGACACCGGATCATCAACGCTGTTCGTCGTCAACACCGACTGCACTGAGGAATCGTGCCCTGATGGCAGGGTCACGTCATACGTTCGAGAGAAATACAATGCGTCTGCTTCGTCAACATCTGTCGACCTCAACATCCCCGCGGCAATCCCATACCTCGGCGGCGACGTTGCCGGCGATACTATTCAGGACGTTTTCAGCACTCTAGACGGTAGCGTGGAATGGAACCAGACCTTCCTGTCTGCCAATCAGAGCAGCTGGCGTTTCATCACTGCCGATGGTTTCCTGGGCCTGGGTTTCTCCTCCATCGCGGAAAAGAACACATCGACCCTGGTCGAGACATTGTTGTGGGACGGAAAACTGGACGCACCCCGTTTCAGTCTATTCTACGGGACGAACTTTGAGGATGCGGGTAACGGTACGCAAGACGGTGTGCTGACTGTCGGCGGCAGCCATGAGGACAAGTACGTAGATGGCGAGGTGGTCTCCACGCCCTTGAGGAAAGAGGATCCATACCAGCTCTGGCGTGCGCCACTAAGGAGCGTCAACGTCCTCGTTGCGGAGAACGTATCGGAAACAAACGCAACCATTGAGATACACAACGGCCACCTTCCCACCACTGCCGTGTCGAACGGTGGTGAACCAGACGCCAACGTAACATGGTCAATATACCAAGGTGGAGCTGTTTTCGATACTGGATCTGGACGTGTCTCCTTCCCGAGCGACATCATCGACGCCATGTACTTCAACCTCGGCTGGAATTACACCAAGCTCACCAACCACGGCGAAGAGATCATGGAGTGTAAGCACCTGAACGCTTCGTGGGCCATCACTATGACACTTGGTGAGGGAGCCCGAGAGGATGATGTCTCATTCACCCTCCGAGGCGACGAGTTCCTCTTGCCGGGCCACCAATGCATGCCGCCATTTGACAGCAGCGAGAGCGAAGGTTTCGCGTTGATCGGCGCTCCGTTCCTGCGAAGACATTACTCCGTCTTCGACTTTGGTGCTGACAAGGTCGAGGACTACCAGCCGACCATTGGTTTCGGAAGGTTGAAGAAGGAGTATGATTTCATGTACTTGTGATCACGGGTCATGCAACTTTGTTCTGTTCTTTGTAAATATACGTAGTTTGCTGCAACATGGAATCCAGATGCGCTCGCGCAACAGCATGAATCAATGAGTGCCAACCTTCCGGTCTACTTCCTTTATCTCCAAATGGGGTCGCCCAGTACCTCTCGCAACTCGCATGTGCAGCGTGAGAACTTTTGAATCGGGTTTGATCTTTTCGATCTTTTGCATTCTCGCGTCGCCCATTGTATCGAAGTAGCGGAGCTCTTCAAGGTTATCGCGGTAATGCTTATGGAACTTCTTCTGTATGCTGGTCCACTGGTCCCCAACTACTACCGTAGCTGACCAATGACCGTTCCTGAAGAAAAACACGAATGCGAATATGGGATACGCATCCTTCTTGAACTCCATGTAGCCTATGATGGCGCCCGTGTGTGTTGCGTGCAGCCATTTTGCAGCCGGATCCCATATGCCACGAGGTTCGACTCGACTGACATGCACACCGGCGGGCTTCTCTACCCGCATGACCTTTTCCATGATCGTCGAAGCTTGCGGACCCGTCAACGACTTGACCGCCGTGAACTCAGTGTAAGTCACTTCAGTCTTGACCCTAGGGCACTCTTGAGGCATTGCGCGAACGAACAAATCGGGTCCGACTCTTCTGAGGTAAATTCCAACAGGTCTGCCAACCGCGCCCAGCGAATGTTTCACTGGTAGTATAGCAAGTCCAGTATCGTGATCCCAGGCGAGTCCCAGTTTCAGTCGGATGCCACGATTTGTCATGTAAAAGTCTCGTGGCTTAACAGCCGGTTCCGGGGTGATCGATCGCATTTGCCGAAAACAGCTGGGAGACGGAGCAAGGAGACCTGACAGCTTGTGATACGAGAAGGCATCATTCCAAAGGAAGAGCGAATCATCGGCAGTTTCGCTGAGTATGTGTTCCTGCAGCCGGATGAACGCTTTTGACCCTTCCCCGTAGAGCATTGCCATGTTGATGTCGAATATTCCCATGAGACTATAGGCAATGTCTTCTTCCCTGGTAGTCTTGCGCGTAGACGCCCACGAAAACCTCTGAGCAACAGGCACTTCGCTTAGTTCCATCTGGTGTTTGAGAATATCGTCCGGAATGCCTGTGATTTCCGTGATCTGATCCGCTAGGCTCGCCTTGGTACCCCTAAACTCCCAGTTTTGATCGAAGAAGACGACATTCTTCGGCGCAATGAGCTCTTGGAGCGTCCAGCCACGACGGAACCATTTCGATGACTTGAAAGAGAAGGCGGTGTGATCAATGTCGAATAGATAGGCGAAGCACACTGAGGCTTCTTTGTAGTACCTGAACATGGAGTTGATTGCCTCGCTGAGCTCTGCACTACTGGACTTGTTTATGCAGCACGTATCGCACCATGCATACTTGAGTTTGTGTCGGGATGAAGAAGCCATCTTACACGTCTCCACGATCTTCTTGTACCCAGGCTTCGAGAGTGTTGTTTCTGGACGGTCTTGCGGCGGCACTAGCATTTCTTCGTAAGTCACCTCATCTATGGTACGACCCCACACATGTGATAAGATGGCATATTTCTGATCCGGATCTGCATGATCCCGAACGTGGAGGGCCAGTGTCGTAGTGTCGATGAAGATCATGATTGAGTATATATGTAGAGTAAGATGCGTTCGAGAATTCAAAGCGCTGATGACTTTCCAAGCAACTCTGGGGGCGGGAGGCGAGTTAATCGGATTTCGACCCCGCCGCAAAAGGTGCGGCTGAGGCTACATCTGTCCTCTAGCGTCTCGCGATATGCATCATGCCGTGTATGTCAGCTTATGTCAGCGGCACAGATTGTCGATGGAATGCAGTGCGTATTCCTTGTCGTGTACATGTTAGTGGTCGCAGGACTGCTGCATGTCTGCAGCGTATGGTCAGCTGATGGGAGGCGGGTGTCAAAAGCACTAAGCTCAACACAGCTAGCTTGGGCTCTAGTAGCGTTGAGCAGTCCCTGGAGAGACGCATCAATGATACATCACAAGTATGCTCTCATACGATTATTGCGTGGCGCTGAATACAAGGGGGATTTGATATTCCTAGGCAACTCAGAAAGGTTCACAACTCAATGCACCAGATCTAACCACTACTCGCTACCTTACCCTCCTTAACTTCCCAGGCTTGCTTCTTCCCACCTTTGACGTTGAGCTTATTTCTCTGCTTCTCCCTCTCATCCATATCAATGTTGATGTTGAAGTGCTGGCCTCTGATCTTCTCGTAGAATCTACCCGCGGTAATACCATTCATAGGTTCAAGCCACTTGCCAGTGACCTCAGTTTCGAAGGAATCAGAGTTGATTATGAGAGGTTCGTGGGCGCGAAGAACATAGACGATCGAGAAGCGGTATCTTTTGTCGCCTGTCGAAGGAGCAGGATCGGGAAGATCGGTGGAGGCTTGGGAGGTGGAGACGGCAGGGTTTGGCGAAGGCTCCGGAGACCCGTAAGCTACCACTCGATGACCACCAGCTGGGTATCTACCATTGGAAAGTCTTTCGAGTTGGCGTCCAGCGAGCATGGTAGCACCTTTCCCCCCAGAACTCTCCACTACTTTCTCAACCTCGAACCAGTTGGCCCCGTCCCAAACTTCCAAGCCAGGCACATCACCAACAACCACGCTTAGCAGTCCCAGATCAGCATGCGGTTCAGCCACAACTTTCGCCTCCCACCCCTCATATCTGAACAACCGCAGCATCGTCGCAGTCTTCTCCTTATCAGTAGCTTGCAGCGCGCCGCAGGGTCCAACGAACTGTCTCAGCCCTTCGTCTTCGCCATCTGGTAGCCCAAGGGACGTCGAGATTCTACCCAACGTGTTCGAGCAATGCTGTCCAATGAGGTCCCAATACCTCTTCGCAGGCCCTCTCAAGACTTCTGGACAATACTCTAGAGTTCGCAAAGTGATGAATTCCTTTTCGCCGGGAATTTTGGACCATCCTTCTTCAGACTTGAGCTTGTGCTTCCATCGCTGCTTTTCCTTATCGGGCTGGTTGAAGAAAGCTTGACTTGCTGCGAAGAGCTGTTCGTATGCGGCCTGCAGAGGGTGAGGCCCAGGCGCTGGGGCTTGGTGCTCGTGATTTTTCGCCTCAGATTGGGATGATGAGGATTCAGGGAAAGTGACGGTCGTCCAGCCGAGAGCTGAGAGGGTCTGTTGATGTTCTGGTAGGACTAAGGGTAGTGGCGCGGGCTTTAGTGGCAGGCGCGTCTCTTGCAAGATCTCCCGCGACGGTTGCGCATCGGACTTTTTGTTGCTCGTGCCTTTCTTTGACCGAAATTTGGAGATGATGTTTGAGATGGAGAAGTGATGTTCTGATGACCTTGAGGGGAGTGTGGCGGCCATCTCTTCGAAGAACCAGGATGTGGACACACGAGACGCGAACGACCTCGGGAGGAATTCTAGGGGAGTAAGTACTTGCAGAAGAATGAGAAAAGGGCAGCGATTATGATTACGGGTATGGCACAGATATATCGAAGCTACGATGTGGGAATGGCCAGATGACGTTTCCCCAACCACACGAGCTAAGCCACAATTACACAGCCCCACCCGCGACCATAAGCTCAAGGACTATTGCGAACAAGGCGTCCGGTGAACACAAAAACCCGCAGAACCAGATTCGACAGGAACTCCAAGAGTGAACGAGAATTGTAGAAAAGATGTAGTTTTCCGCAGATAGAATAGTTCATCACATGTCTATAGGCTTGGTCTATTTTTGTTCTTCTCCCAAAGCTCCCTCTCCCTCCGCACAAACCAATCGTGCAGAATGGGCCTGATCTTGACAACGCCTTCGCCTGTCTCGCATCCAAACTCCAATTCCGGCTTCCAAGTGCCTCCCTCGGCACTGATCTTCATGCTAGTCATGTTCTCCAACCGACACATTGCAAGACCTACTTGCCCAATGCCCGCAATGAATTTGCCAGTCGCACGACCTCTTTTGGTTTTGCCATCTTCATCTAGCTGTTTGATGTCCGTACCATGGTCTGGAAGGGCTGCGGATGCGGCAGGTTTGTCAATGTGAATTGGCAGGACGCGCTTCCGCACGATGCCGGTGTGTTTCGTACGGATGGTAAGTTCCTGGCCAACGTAACAGCCTTTTTTGAAGTCTATACCATGCCAGAGATCAATATTGCACTCCATTGGTAATGCGGATTCTCTTGGTATCTCCTGCGGTCCTTCGGGTATGCCGTTCCTGTAGCGTTGAAGGTGGTATTCCTGGATGTCCACTGGCTCCACCCCCTCTATTAATGTCGCTACGTCGGGACTTACGAGATAGCGATGCATTTCTGGTGCACGCGGATCGCTAATCGCAGTGATGACATTGTCGGTATTGGCATGCTCAACCTCAGAGCCCCAAGCTGCCCACACGCGCATTTGGTCCGGTTCTACCTCCTCGATCTGCACCTTGCTCCTCAGCTTGTGTCTCTTCAGATGCTTCCTTAGAGACTCCATCTCGCTCTCATCCACCTCAATATAGCATGCCCAATGCTCCTTGCCCTCTAGTAATTGTGGCCACACCCAGACAAAGACATCCCACAATACGCGGCCGCGCGCATCTAGAAAGGCAGCGTAGAAGGGCGACTGACGGCTCGAATCGACATTGTTCGTTATCAGTCCCTGCAGAAATTTGACGGTATCGGGCCCAGAGAGGGAGATGAGGCGGCGATGCGGGAGCGGTGCACAGCCTGAGCTGGCAGCTTGCGAAGAGGAGCTCGTTATCGAGTATTGGCGCTTTTCGAATCGTCCGCGAGCATTTTCATTATGCAGCGGTGAGATGATAAATCGATCGCGACGGTACGGAAATGATATCGGCCGCGTGGGGATTTTGCCGTTTGAAGATGACGCGGTGCTGAAGGTTCGGTACGTATCGACGGCCGGTCTGCGTAGGGAGCGCACATTTGTTCGGCAAGCGTCGCATATGTATTTTGGCGTCCGTAGCGGTGCGCTCAGTGAAGAGGTCGCCATGGCAGTTGTGAGGGTGCTTAGTGAGGTGCGTGAGGGCTTGATCAGAGCTCGAGATGCCTCGGCAATTACGGAGTTACGGCTAGAGCGAGATGTGACAAATTGATGTCATCGAATATGCTGGATCTGGGCCTTCGGGCCAAATGTACTACAAAAACGCTGGGAACGCCTAATCTATCAAACAACATGTTGGGGATAACGCTAACGTCATGAAAAGTGTTGTTGGCCATCCAACGCCGTTGTTTGACGCGTCAAATCAACACCTAGTCGTTCTTTCGACCAGTTAATCTGGACCGCTCACTGTCCTTCGCTTTTGAATTCGATGGCCCTGACTCGTCTGAATCATCCGAGTCGTCCGAATCATCCTCCTCATCCTCGCTTTCTTCCTCGTCGCCACTTTCTTCACTGCTCCACTTATCATCCTCGCCTACCGCGAAGATGGTGTCGCCATCGAGGCTCTCCCTGGGAGGTACAATGGGCTTCTGGGCTTGCGGTGCGGGCAATGGCGATACATCGCGCGCAATGTTGTTGTTGTTGTTCGACCTCTGCGCTGGGTCGTACGAAGGGGGTTGGTCTGCTCCTCTCTCTTCTTCATCAAGAGAGTCTCTCATCGAGGCAATTTCGAAGCCTTCGTCATCTTGTGCAATCTAAAAAGTCGTGAGTAAGAATGTGGGTGCTATATTCGCAAAAACGTACCTCATCACTCATGGCGAACCTTCGGTTGTTGGCCGTTGGTCTCCACATATACGCGACGAAACAGACGTCGGCCAGGTAGACGAGATTTAGCCAGCCATCGAGCACGAACCATCGTGTTTGCCAATGGGTCGGCGCGAAGTCAGGTGTCGACGCTCCAGCAAAAGTGAAGCTGTTGATGAAGAAGAAACCAAAGATAACGACGATGCTTGTCAAGATGCACCACCATAATCTCTTGTACATGGTAGCTTTGACGTGTTGCTTGCGCTCCATCAAGTCCTTCATCGTGAGGTTTAGCGAGTTCAGAGTCCAGATGTAGAATGCCGTGAGGGTAGCCGATAGAGGAAGGATGACTAGCAAGACCAGAGGTCCAGCATCATCAGGACGAACAGTAAGTGAAGCCACAGCGTAGATTACGCCAAAGATGAAGTGAGCTACAGCAAGCCAGCGAACGACAGTCATGGTCTTGCCGAGAGAAGGCTTGACAACGCCGTATCCCATGCATACGATCAATAGGAGGAAGAAAGAGAAGGAGTTGCGGAAAGCGTTCAGTACAGCGACGACGATCATGAGAGCTTTGGTGCCGACGTTGTTACCGTGGCGGTTCTGGTAGTCGTAGTAGCCCCAGGTCATCAGCATCTCCACGACTAGGAAGACTAGGATGGCTGTGATGTAGTTCTGGACGGCAAGAATGTCGTGGCGGTTCTGGAAGTATAGGAAGCCCCAGAATGCCAGCACAACGAAGTACACAATTGTGATGCCGCCGTAAAATGGGAGCTTGGCGATCTGGGCCGCCTGGAGCTCGCCATACGCATTCCGGAATGTCACAATAGCCTCGAATTCCAGTTCCTTGTCTGCCGCATTCGCAGCCACACAATAATAGCCCGTCTTGATTGGGACCTTTGTTTCTGCGGTGGAGACTGGGTATTTGATCGGTTTCGGGTCGTCGAGATTGATGGCGTCGGTTCGAATAGGCATCTGAGAGGCGTCTTCGACGTCTTCTGCAAGCACCCATTTGCCCTTATCTTTTTCGTCGCAGAGTTTCAGTTTTATCGATTCGTCGTCGCAAATGTAATGGCGGTTTTCCTGGAGAAAGTCAGATTGGTTGTGCGAACAGCATCGGGACCCACGTACATCATTCACGGGCAAGTCGGAAGGTGCGCCCAAAAGTAAAGTGTCTTTCCATTCCCAGATCACCAGGCTGACAGTTTGGTCCTTGATGCCCTCGTTCTTCTTGGGATCTTTTATGAACTTGACAAGTATGAAGGGGTCGACCTTGCCTCCCCACGATTTCTTGCTGTACATGCCGCTGGACTCGTATGAGCATGCTGCCTCTGGCTAACCCAAGATGCATATCTTCCTACATACCTGCACTTTTGCGTCTCCTTATCGGAGAGCGTAACATCCATCGCTGCTACTGCTGTTATCGTAGTGAACAGCAGTAGAGCGATGTTGCGCAGCCGTGCCTTCATCTTGCCGGATGTGAGGCCAGCTGGCGGAGCTGACGGCTGGAGGTTTGCGGCGCTTCAGGCGGAGGTATGCGCTTCGATTCGAACTGGCGACAGAGTCTTTCCGTCAATTCCTGGTTAACGGCGGGTCATGGGTGGGAGTTGGTGTTTAGTTGACGATGTTTGGCTTGCGCGTCAACGTTCCCGATCGTCACCTACGGCCGCCTTCCCGGTAGCTGTTAGCGCGCATTCCCAGAATGTGGCGCAGCCGGGCACCAAAGGGCAAGGGCAACCACGACCAGAACCGCCGACGAGTCAGCCCTACCAAACACATTCACCAACATCAGCCCAACACACGCACATCATGCCAGGCAAACATATTGCTGGTGCCTCTGACGAGCCTTGCAGACGATGCAAAGACCCTTCAGTTCTTGTTGTGCGCTCTGAGCCGCTTTGCCAGTCAGTGTACGCCACCTGGAGGGGAAGAAGAATTCGCTAAATTTACTATAGTGACTGCTTCGCCCGCTACGTGCATACAAAGTGCATCAAGCGCTTGGAATCGTTTCGCGTTAATTTTGGAGCTGAGCAGCAGCGTAAGATCTTAGTACCCCTGTCATTTGGGGTCTCTTCTACCACTCTCCTCCACGTACTGGACCTGCATCTCAAGACGCAAAAGAGCAAGACTGGCCGTACCGGATTTGAAATTAGCGCAATATATATCGAGGACCCAGAACAGAAAGTGCAAGCTGCGCAGCTACTCGATAAGGCTCGCGAGCAATATCCGGACCATCAGTATGCCTCACTGCCGTTACATGATGTATTCCGCCTGGTCCCAGAAGACGCCTCGATACGGTCCTTGCTGCCACAGGACGACCAAAGGGCGGACTTGAGTCCCGAAGAGCAATTCATTCACATGATCAACTCGCTCACCTCGGCCACGGCTCGTGCGGACGTGCTCTCTACCCTAAGAACACGGCTAATCGTAGAGCACGCGAAGTTGGCCGGGTGCGAAAGTATTCTCTGGGGAGATAGCACGACCAGGCTCGCTCAAAAGACTCTTGCCGAAACTGCCAAGGGCCGAGGGTTTTCTCTGCCGTGGCAAGTCTCAGACGGAATGTCGCCCTTTGGCCTTAACTTCCACTACCCACTTCGAGATGTCTTGAAGAAAGAGCTAGTATCATACACCAAGATGGCGGAACCTGGACTATCAGAACTCGTACACGAAACATCAACAGGCGCTAC